TTCCTTTTAAAGATTTAGTATTTGTAGTTATTTGAGCGCCTCACCTTTTTCTGCCGATATAATATAAAATAGTTTTTCTTTTTTTTTTTGAAAAAATTTGATATAAATGGTCCCAGATCGTGATCGGTAGAGCCCAGGAAGGGGAGGGGGGGGGGTGTTGAGAGCAACATATTTTTTACTTTTTGCGCTCGTTGCGCCACTATTATGTAAAGAAAGATACTGTTGATGTTGAAACGCAAAATTTAATTAAAATTACAATTTGCACGCTGTGCAGTGTTGTAGTGTACAGTACCCTGTTCGTACATTTAGGGCTGTTAATCGCTTTTGAAAACGATCGTTTTTTGTTTCTTTCTTCAATCGTTTTCAAAAATGATCGTTTCGTTTTCAGAAAAAACTACCGTTTTTAAAAAAGACCCACTCGTTTTGAACTTTTAAAAAACGAATAACGATTATTTTTATATAAACGATTTGCGACCGTTTTTAATGCGATTGTTTTTAAAAAACGATCGTTTTAAAAAAAAAATTATTGACAATTATGTTAACGATCGTTAACGAAACGGTCGTTTTTCAAAAACAAAATAAAACGTTAATAACCCTACGTACATTGTATGAAATATGGAGTTTGATGTTTAAAACGAATTTATCTGGAGACATTATACAAGTTTATTATGGTCAGCATAAAATGGAAACTCTCAAAATTCATTTCCGTTTTTTGACATCTCATTTCCAATTCAAAATTAGGTTTTTCATGGTAATTAAGCACTCATATAATTTTAGGGATATCAAGCTCCTTCCCCCCACCCCTACTCCCTCCCCTTTCTCCCCCAAATTCACTTTGACAAGGTATAATTGATCACAAAGGTACTAATTAATCTCCTCTTAAACTCTAATTTTCAAATCGTTAATTTGCTATCGCATTCGAAATTTGATATTTCAAACTTCTTTTAGACCTTATAGGCAAAGTTTGAATTATCGAAGGTTTACAACATCGGTTGCACATTTTGAATCATCAAAGGTTTACACCATCAGGTTGCAAAGTTTGAATGACCGAAGATTATCACTATCGGTTGCAAAGATATAAAGATTGAAAAATTACAGTTCGAGGCGAGATATCGGTCCTGGAATCAGATTTATTGAAAAAGCAGAAAAAAATGTTGAAAACTATACCTGAAGTAGTTTATCATGAACTCGAGCTCAATTATCTAATTGAAAATATTATTTTTATTTTCATATTTTTGTGATAGAAAAAACTAAAGATAAATTTAAAAGGCATACAATTCAGACATTGAAAATACAAACTATTGATTGTAAACAGGTAAAAATATTTTTTAAACGTTTGTAAATTTATGGGACCCCACATTTAAAGAGGGTCATGTCATAATTAAAAACGGTACACTTAAGTGCAGATCAGATCAATTATGTGGAAGATGAACTAAGTTTTCTAGCTTGAAAACAGTTTTTGTTGTTAATTTCTTCATTGTTTTTAAGCCATGCAAATTGTAAGTTTCTTTCGAAAAGAAACCATAAATAAAAGTAATCAGTTTTCATTTGGAAAAACATGGATATCCAAGTCTTACTTGATCAGACATTAAGTATTTAAGGGAACTGTTGTGCATTGGACGGTCACTTGAAATTACGTTACAGTCCCTTTACAAGCAGTTTTAAATACCGTCTATTTTAAAATATTTTGTCATCTTAAAATTATCCTGTTTAGTGGTGGACACAGTACCTGTCGTGGTGCTAAATGGTTCTGTTTAGTGGTGCACACTATACCTGTCGTGGTGCTAAATGCGCACTGTACCTGTCGTGGTGCTAAATGATCTGTTTAGTGGTGCACACTGTACCTGTCGTGGTGCTAAATGATCTGTTTAGTGGTGCACACAGTACCTGTCGTGGTGATAAATAATCTGTTTAACTGTACCTGTCGTGGTGCTAAATGATCTGTTTAGTGGTGCACACTGTACCTGTCGTGGTGCTAAAAGATCTGTTTAGTGGTGCACAGTGTACCTGTCGTGGTGATAAATAATCTGTTTAGTGGTGCACACTGTACCTGTCGTGGTGCTAAATGATCTGTTTAGTGGTGCACACTGTACCTGTTGTGGTGCTAAATGATCTGTTTAGTGGTGCACAGTGTACCTGTCGTGGTGATAAATGATCTGTTTAGTGGTGCACACTATACCTGTCGTGCTGCTAAATGATCTGTTTAGTGGTGCATACTGTACCTGTCGTGGTGCTAAATGATCTGTTTAGTGGTGTACATTGTACCTGTCGTGGTGCTAAATAATCTGTTTAGTGGTGCGCACTGTACCTGTCGTGGTGCTATATGGTCCTGTTTAGTGGTGTACACTGTACCTGTCGTGGTGCTAAATGGTCCTGTTTAGTGGTGCACACTGTACCTGTCGTAGTGCTAAATGATCTGTTTAGTGGTGCACACTGTACCTGTCGTGGTGCTAAATGATGTGTTTAGTGATGCACACTGTACCTGTCGTGGTGCTAAATGATGAAAGGATATCAAATAATCACTGCAACAATCAGCACCTCTCTGCAATAAGAATTTAAAAGTATTGATTTAATCAATAAAAAGATTCAAGTGGTGAATCTAAGAGGTTGAAAAAATATTGTCATTTAAATATTGTAGTTTGTAGCGAATGTTCAATTCCTTTACATAATGTATTATTAGAAACTAGGGGGGAAAAAGTTGAAAAAAAAATTTGAAAAAAAAACATAGGACCCCCCCCCCGGCCAGGAATGTCTTGGTTTATTATTTAGATTAGCGGAAATAGCCGGCGTTGCCCGGCTTGGAATTTTAAAAACAATTAAAAAACAAATTCGAATTTTTAAAAAAATCGATTGTTTAGCCTATGTTACCCCTAGGGTATCCATGGGTTCCCTAAAAAACAGCCAATTTGGTCAGGCCGTTTGGCTACCTCGAGCTAAGGTAGTCGTTAGTTGAAGAAAGAAAGAACTTCACGGTATTTCCCTTTTTTAAAAGTTACCGTTTGTTAACGATCTCAATTTTATTAACGGCGTAAACGGAAAATCTTCAACAATCATTACAGAATTAACGGTGTTAATGGCGCCGAAAAAAATCGTCAACAGTTATTGAAATCGTTAACGGCGCATCTATTAAAGGTATATTACAGTATTTTACGGCGCCAAGTGCTGAAAACAAATTAAAAAGAAAATATGTAAGTTCAATGCACTTTAAGCAAAAAAATACTAAATTCATTGTTTAAAAAAATTCGTTTTGTTTTCGATTTCTACCATTAATTCTTTTTTTAAAAACGGCTTAGCCGTTTCGTTAACGCTTAAAAAATTAACGTTTTGCCGTTTGTTAACGGACTCTTCCGTTTATTTTCGAAAACCTCCGTTTCGTTCACAGAACTTTTCCCAGCCCTAGCTAAAGCTAACAAATATATATGAGTATGTATATGAGAGAAAACCTTTATCTCTGTATATAATAAACAAGACAATCACATATATGTTGCCTATAGTCGGCCAAACAACTGGACAGAATGGGCTGAAATTTTTGTGTACACTCATGGGTAGCCTGGGGGTGTCTTAGGTTTCGACATTTTTTTCCAAATTTTTAAAAAATATTTTTTTTTCATAATTTGTATTTAAATTTTTTTCCCACGGGCAACGCCAGGCCCTTCAGCTAATTATACATTATTTCATTTTATTTAAACTTAGCTAACTTTCAGCCTTTAGAAAATCTTGTCACTTTCACTGGGTTAAATACTATGAAGATAGTATTGTTGAATTATCAAAGATTTAAAGGAAAAATGCGCAAATATAAATAGAAACTTTTCAAGAATCATAGTCAATAATTTTAGAACGTTTTATAAAAGAAATAATTGTAACCTTTACTGATATCACAAACCCAAACAGAAATGTTTTTTTTAAAATTTTTTTTAAATTTTTGATTTTTTTAGATTTGTCCCTTTAACCAAGGAAAATACATTGTAAAGGATAGGTCCCTTGAGGGAAATCATTTAGAAGCAAAGGAAAATGTTTTAAATAGAAAAGTTTTATCGTTTTTTCAAATATTCATATTTCGGAGCAAAAAAACGTACTTTCTTTATCCATTAATAAACATAATCTTTCTTAAGAGAATCTTTTAAAGATTTTTAGTGTTTTAAGTGATTCTGATAATTCCATGATAGAGGGATATCTTGAAAAATTAAAGGGGAGAGTATGGCCAGCTCAGGAAAAAATTTACGAGGTCTCATATTTTTCCTTCATCTTGTGTTAAACGTGGGATTTTCTTTAATTCTTTACTTGTTACTTAGTGTATGAATATGGAAAATTCAATGGAATAAAATTCCAACATTCAAAAAAGTTTTGAGGTAGTAAGTGAGGAAGTAAAATGTTATTGTAATTTTGCAAGGAACTCAAGAACTGTTTCAGCCTTGACAAACCGTGGCAAGGAATGTTCCACCCTGGACAACCCGGGGCAAGGAATGTTCCACCCAGGACAAACCGGGGCAAGTAATGTTCCACCCTGGACAAACCGTGGCAAGGAATGCTCCACCCTGGACAAACTGGGGCAAGGACTGCTCCACCCTGGACAAACCGGGGCAAGGAATGTTCCACCCAGGACAAACCGTGGCAAGGAATATTCCACCCTGGACAAACCGGGGCAAGGACTGTTCCACCCTGGACAAACCGGGGCAAGGACTGCTCCATACTGGACAAACTGGGTCAAGGAATGTTCCACCCTGGACAAACCGGGGCAAGGACTGCTCCACCCTTGCCAAACCGGGGCAAGGACTGCTCCACCTTGGACAAACCGGGGCAAGGACTGCTCCAACCTGGAAAAACGGGGAAAGGACTGCTCCACCCTGGACAAACTGGGACAAGGACTGTTCCACCCTGGACAAACCGGGGCAAGGGCTGTTCCACCTTAGTCAAACCGGGGCAATGAAAAATGTAAGGGTTATGTACACAATGTTTTTGATAAATAAAGAGGGGCGAAATAGAAAATCACGTACCGGTAATTATCTGGAGTTTTGAACAAATTAAATGAAAACAGACCAATGTTAGACAAAATTTAATAATAATATTGCTTAATAAATATTTATTTAACCACTATTATTGTTCATATTGTAGGCAGATTTTTTGCATCTGTATCGTTTAGATTAAAATTTTTGAGCAATTTACAAATGATTTTTTTTAAAAGAAAAATGGCAATTTATAAAATCTATTCAATACTAACCTAAGAATGTCGGTCAGATCGATGTGAATAAACCTAAAATAAGTAAATATTTGTTTTCATATTTATATCTATTTAATTCTATTATGTATGGATATCTTAAAAATTGGATTTTTGTGAAATTAGATATCCAGACTTTGATTTTTTGCCATAAACTCTGATTTTATCTTTGCAACCTTATAGATATTTCAAACTATAAAGATCAAATAATCTAAGTTTGAAATATCAGGTCGGAAAAATATAGGAATTAGAAAATTTGAGTTTGTGTCAAAGACTCAATTCCGTTACACGTTGTATAATCCGTGATCATCGATCATTATAAAAGAACATCTGAGGGGATTACAAACTTTGTGACCTCGTAGCTCATCTAGTTTTGATTTTAAGCCAAGAAAGGAATTTTTTATTAGATTGCTGCTGCATATCAAAATATAAAACTTTTAATATTTTAATATATTTTACTTTATTTTGATGCAAGTGTATTTCAACCAAAAGTTTTGTTATATTTGGAGCAATATAATTTTTGTAAATTTTTTAATTTCAAACCAACAGATATCTAGATGCAAGAAAATATTAATATAGTTCTTTGCATGTAACAGGGTGTGTAAAAAGCTGGGATTTTCGACGTTTTAGACAAAACTTTAAAAATTTAGTTTTGATCCGATTTCAGACAAAAAATAAAATAAAATGTGATAAAAAGATTAAAAATTATTTTGGAACGTTAAAAAAAAACAATCCGCGAAACCAAATTTTTATTGAAAAAATAAGATTTTTGAAAAAATGTTTTCCAAAATTTCATTAACAAAATGTAAGCCAATTATTTGCATTTTGAATGAATATATAACAATAGTTTGAAATTTAACATTTCTTAGAAATTTGCGAACATAAATCCTCCCCAATACTAAAGATTGCATCGGGCATAAAACACTGTGTTTATGAAGGCGCACAACTAGAGGGGGGGGGGGCAGGCGCCTAGCCTGATTAAGGCGGGGCATGCCCCCTTGAGAAGGTTTGCCCCCCCCTTTAGAGGGGGGGGGGAGAATTCCTTAACAGGGGTCCATATAGTTTCAAATATGATTAATCAATAAGTTTTGAAAGGATAATAGAACGAATATTCTATACAAATTCTAAAGAATTAAAGAACATTTCTTACAATATATAAATCTTTCATAAAAAGTGGGAATCTTACAATGGAACATTATCTTTATTACGTCTCTTTCGACACAAAAGTCTCAACATTTTTTTAAAGGAAGCGAAGCATCCTGACGTTTACAGTATTTGATAAAACATGAACTAGTTCGCATTTTAGAGATTTGAAAGGAAAATTTTACATGATGACTTTTGCATTCAATCTTTTTTTACATTTGATCAATTTAGATTTCTATTCAGAATCCCGAATAGGAAGGCTGCTCAACTATATATATAAAGTAGTAATCTCTGTTTGTCTGTTTGTTTGTTCACAACCGCTTGACCAATTTGTCTCAAATTTTTTAACCTATATCTTGGAATTTTCACTTGTAAACTCCGGTCGATTTGAAGTACAGGTTGTCCCAAGAAACATGGCAGTTGGTAAATAGTTTGAAATGTCTTCTTCCATGATTTGTGAAGTTATTTGATGCCAAAGAATAATAACAATATCTAATGGCAGTCATATTATAGAAAATTTATTTTCAAAGTAAAAGACATTTAAGTAAGACATTTTTTATAACGAAATAAACTGCGAAAAGTCTTTAATATCTAATATACAGTATATGGAAGAAGACATTCAAAACTATTTACCAACTGTCATGTTTCGTGGAACACCCTTTACTTGTCTGACTTTTAGGAAGCTAGAGAACGTTTTACAAAATACATACATACTATAGACGGCAAAACAGAATACTTTTCAGCCTTGATTGACATATTTATAATCATGACTACAATTATTATTTGACTATTATAAGGGCCAACTAAGGAAAAAGAGGGTTATACACAGATTAAAAGATTAGAAGTATAAATCGTAAAATTTTAATATTGATTAGTACAGCAATTGAATTTCTATATGAAATGCGAGAAAATGCCTATTCAAAATCCGAGAAGCTTTATTTAAACTGTGCTCAAGTTAAAATTATAATTAGTGATATGTTTAAGTCAGAACTCCGAAGGCTTTTATTTGAAAACGAGCTTCTTAATACTAACCATTTCCGCAATCTTTTTTTAAATAGGTTGAAAAAGTACAGATTTTAAGTTAAATGAAGGTTAAAAAGGCATGAGGTTCTTATATTACCGCAATTTGACAGTGATTTGATAATCTTTACCAAACCTATCTCTAGTATCTACAAAACTAACCTGAGTTTACCAAACCTATCTCTAATATCTACAAAACTAATCTGAGTTTACCAAACCTATCTCTAGTATCTACAAAACTAACCTGAGATTACCGAACCTATCTCTAGTATCTACAAAACTAACCTGGGTTTACCAAACCTATCTCTAGTATCAACAAAACTAACCTGAGTTTACCAACCCTATCTCTAGTATCTACAAAACTAACCTGAGTTTACCAAACCTATCTCTAGCATCTGCAAAACTAACCAGAGATTACCGAACCTATCTCTAGCATCTACAAAACTTACCAGAGATTACCGAACCTATCTCTAGTATCTACAAAACTAACCTGAGTTTACCAAACCTATCTCTAGCATCTACAAAACTAACCAGAGTTTACCAAACCTATCTCTAGTATCTACAAAACTAACCAGAGTTTACCAAACCTATCTCTAGCATCTACAAAACTAACCTGAGTTTACCAAACCTATCTCTAGTATCTACAAAATGAACTCCAAGATTCTCCATACATCTACTCATTTGTACATCTTCAGGACCCAAACTTTCATCCCTAAAACAGTTTGGTTTGGAAATTTCAAGGGAGGCATGTCTGATTAACGATGGTACCGTTTAATCCTGTAACAGATAAGTCGTTCGGAAGATATAGTCATTTTCTTAGCTTGACAAGTGTTTAATTTATTTTGTTGTTATTACAAGCAGAAATCAGCAAATAACTATATTAAAGAATCCACTACTAAAAATAATTAATTTCTAAAGAGAGAAACAGTGATAGCTCAGTCATATTTAGATTCTTGATCAATGACCACTTCAAAGGGTACCATTGTGAATCGGATATACCCCTCAATTAATGGAGAGTCACATGGAATTACGTTCGCAGTCCCTTAAAATAAAAATATATTATGCATGTGTAGCTAATTTTTTTTGTACAAAATACAATTGAAATTTAAAGTTGCGTTAAAGAGAATGTTTTTCTCTACTCATAGCTTTAAAAGCAATAAAAAAGAAAAACAAAAAAATTTCATTTGTCAGGATCACATAAACCAATCAATATATATGGTTTACTTCATATCTAGTAGGATCACATAAACCAATCAATATATATGGTTTACTTCATATCTAGTAGGATCACATAAACCAATCAATATATATGGTTTACTTCATATCTAGTAGGATCACATAAACCAATCAATATATATGGTTTACTTCATATCTAGTAGGATCACATTTTTATAATGATTAAAGGAATATTAAAATACTATCGGAACTTTAAAGCCAATAAACTTTTTAAAAGCATTTTTTGATTTCGGAATCTTGAGGAATATTTTGAGGATTTTTTATGGTTTTTTTTATGAGATATTTTTTAAGATTTTATTGAAAATATTGACTATCAAGGGCTATTAATGCCCGCTCATATGACCCCAAGGAAGGTTTATAGCTTTTTGAAATAAAACTCCTCTAGAAAAAAAAAGTTGAAGCTTGTTATTTTTGAAAATCTACTATGTAATGTAAAACAGAAAAATCCAAAAAATAGTTTTTTTTCTTGGATTACAAGGAAAAAATGGCGACGTAAAAAGCGACAGTTACAGACTTAGTTCCCAGTTTATTAGAAGTAGATAATTTTGATTATGTCAGACCTGCAGAGATCATTGTTTCCAATTCCAACATTTACAAACAGCTCCAGAGCAGTCCTAAACATCTTTTTGACATAATTTTTAAAATATTTAAATTTGAAAAATATTATTATGATTTTGGATAATTATGTTAATTATGATGATGATGATGATAATGATGAGAATGATGATGACGATGATGATAATGATGATGATGATGATATTGATGATGATGATGATGACGATGATTATGATGATGATGACGATGATAATAATAATGATGATGATGATGACGATGATAATAATAATGATGATAATGATGATGATGATGATGATGATGATGATGATGATGATGATGATGATGATGATGACGATGATGATGATTAACCTGCTAAGAACGTAACCAGCTCCTCCGGACATATATGGTTGATCTTTAACATGGTTTTCATCCACTAAACATTCTTTCACCGTGGATCTTAAAGGGACAAAATGTTGAAAACGTTTAAAGAGACCAAATACTAAATAACGTAAACTCCAATAAATGAACAATATTTCAAGCATTCTTAAATATCCTCTTAATCTAGGATTTATAAACAAAATAAGAAATAATCATTATTAAAGAGACAAACTCCAAAATAAAATGACAGGACAATCAAGCATACCTGCACATGAAAAGGGACCCTGCTAGTAAGGGTAGGGAGGAATCCAGACTGGAGAGAAAATATTGTAGGTTTTCCATCACTATATAGGAATCATCATCAGCCTTCAAATAAGTATTCATTGCGTTTGTGTTTTTTTGTGTTGAAATGTTGGTAAGAGTACAACACACGCACAGGGGGGGGGGAGGGGGGGGGGGAATTTATTAAAAATGAAAATATATATTTAAAAGAAAGTAGAATTTTGTATTTATAGAAACAGCAACTGTTATTTGAAATTAGCATAATGCTAGTCACCTCGTGTACTTTTGGAAAAGTAAAAGAATTTTTAAAGAAAAAATTCTTGAGATTATCACAATATGCAGAGGCGGAATAAGGGGGGAATTTCGGGGGAAGGGGGAGGTCCCCCCTGGAGAATTGGGGGCACTTGGGGGGACGTCCCCCATTGAAAATATTAGAAGCGCAAAAGAAAAGAGCAGATACCTTCTAGCCCTTTGCTTTTTATTTTGAAGAATAGATTCAAAATAAATATATTACTCAAAATGAAGATTTTTAAAAATCTAAATCTTGGTAACATATTTTTACCCTTCACCCTCCAGCTGCAGTCATAGTTTTGACATAAAAATGACATAATTCCCTGAAAAATATTTCCGGGGGGGGGGGGATTTCTTGCAAGGAAGGGTTACAAAATTTCAGCGCTTCGCGAGTAATTATTCAAGTATTTCCCCCCCCCCTCTTGTAAAATATCTGAAGCCGCCCTTGCAAGAGTATTACAATTAAATTTTAATTTTAAACGCTTTGTCACAGGAGAGGAGAAATTCCTTAAATTGCTGCCTCTGTGTAAGAAATTACTTTAGTTTCAGAACAATTTCTAATAATTGGACTCACAGAACTTTTATTGAATTTTTAAGATCTTTTCTGGGTCGATTGATCAAGCTGTAAAAAATGACAAATTCTTGAAAAAAAAACTTTGAAATTTGTGAGAACCATTTTGAGAAATTCCAGATATATAACTTTTTCTAAAAGATGCCCCGAGCCCCGAGTAATATCAAGGCCTGGTGTCAATCAGAAATTCGTTGATAGCTCCTTTAGTTTTGGTTATATTATACCTTGAGAAACCAATCAACCTCTGAAGCAAAATCAAAATAAGCTTGAGCAAAAGATATTTTAGTTTTAGCCCACAGCCTCTCTCGACCCTAAAAAATGAGAAAAATTTATTATTTTTTATCCAGTTTAGCAAAGTTTAGCCTTAAACAGTAAACAATGTATCAATTAGTCTCCGAAAAATTAAAACTAATAAACTCAATGATATACACTTGATATACACTGTCGGATTTAACATTGAATCCCTCAGGAGTAACATAGATCTGCTAAATAGTTTTAAGATAGGAGGTATTGACTGAAATCAGTTGCTTACTAAAATACCAGCTTTTCATAAAGTAATGATTATTGATGAGAATATTGATGAAAATAGTTTGATAATTTCCCAGTCCTAGGAAGCTTCATTACTTGAATTTGAACTTTGATACTTTTACAGTTGTGAAATCTCAAGAGAGGGGGGGGGGGCTAAATATTTACCTCTTTCATGTCTATCTTGAAATAGCTGTATTCTTCTTTTTCAGAAGCCTTGAAATAACTACGTGCCGTGAAGTTCAACTGGAAATAAATAGTTTTAAAACAAATAGTTTTGAATAGCTTTTTCATTGTAAATATTTTCAAATTGGTAAACAGTTCATATAGAACGTCCATTTTTAAAAAAAAAACTCTCTCTCGACATCCAATTTTGAAATGATCAATGGAAAATACAGAGTTCCCCACAAAGAATGTGACTTTTTGGACGATCTAAAACTCTTTGATTTGACAAACATTGAAACAAGTAAAACAACCAGCTGCAGGAAATAATGTAAGAAAGGATGCTTATATATATTCCCTTATGTCGTCTCTGAAGTCTGATCCTGATTGGACAAAATGCAAGATATGGTTTGTTTTTATAAACTTAACTGTTTTTTTTAAAGAATTGCTCCGTAGAAAATTGATTTTTGGAAAACAAGATTTTGAACAAAGAAGGATAATTTAAGTTGTTTCATTTTCATTTGTTTTTAATGCTAAATAGTAAAACATTTGCAGTTTGAAGCGCAAGTAATATGTAATAACTCTGTGATTCTAAAATTAATAATTCTAAAAATAAAGAATGCGCAAAATTTAAGTTATAGCTTAAAAGTTCTGAGAAATAATGAGTTGCTAATTAAATATTAACCTTTCTAAATTTAACCCTAAAGAGAAACTTTATATTTCAGATGACGAGAAAAGATTTATAAACTTAAATCGTCAGATTAAATCATTTTCATGCATTGAAATATAGCAAAATTGATAACGAATATTTTCGGGTTTAAAATTTAACCCACCAAAATCGACGAATTAAATATTTAAGCTGTAGCTTAAAATTCAGGTTTATATTAAGTCAGAAGTGGCATTTAAGCTGAAACTTAACATTTAAGCATTTAGCATTAATACATATTCTTACATGCAGTGGTCAGCGTTTCTATCAATACATTGAAGACGACTTTTCCATCTAAGATTTAATTTCTAACAAGCTTTGTTTTCATATTTATGAGTATCACTATCCAAGCTGTTTAAAAGGCTTGGAAGAAATCAAAATCAAAATTGAAAATCGTCTTTACTGTATTGATATATACGACGACGTCGGTATATAATTCACCCGGGACTAACCAGGGCGATATGCGTTCGTTTTTTCTTTTATATTTAATCTCGTTTTGGTAATTCAACAACCTCTATACTTATATGTAACAAGGTTGTCTACAAATACTTCTTCATTAAGAACGCGTTGGCAAACAAAAAAAGCAAAAAAAAACGAAATGAAAATGTATGTTTATGGCAAAATTTTGATCGAAAGTCACAGCTTGCTAAAACAAGTACCGAACTTTAAAACCAGCCTCATATAAAAAGAGAACTAACCTTCTCAAGGAAAGGGCTACCACTGGAAGTGACAAACAATACTTTTGTACATCGCCGGACCCATGTGTCATGTACAGCCAGTGCCTGAATATTTAATAGCAATGTACACTGTACACTGTACAGCCAGTGCCTGAATATTTAATAGCAATGTACATTGTACACTGTACAGCCAGTGCCTGAATATTCAATTATGTGTGTGTACACTGTACACTGCACAACAAGTGCCTGTATGTACACTGTACACTGTACATCCAGTGCGTGAATATTCAATAGTTTATGTACACTGGACACTTTGCAGCCAGTGCCAGTGCCAGTGTCAATACGTTATGTATACAATACATGGTGAAGCGTACAACCACTGTCTGAATATTCAAAAATGTATGTACCCTATACATACACTGTACAGCCCGTGCCTGAATATTTAATAATTTATGTACTCATAACACTGTAAGCCAGTCCCGGAATCTTTCTTCATAATGTAGTAAAGTATGTCTGTTGTGATGTTTGCATGTCTGACCATTACATATGAACCCTTTGACCGATTACCATCGGAGTATTCTGACCTTGGACTGATTTTTTTATAGATTTCCAGGCAAAGCCGGGTTCTCAAGCTAGTATTTAATAATGTATGTACACTGTTCAGTCGGTGCCTGAATGTCCAATAATGTATGTACACTGTACAGTCGGTGCCTGAATGCCCAATAATGTATGTACACTGTACAGTCGGTGCCTGAATGTTCAATAATGTATGTACACATGTACAAACCATACCATTTCCCATAATATTATTCTTTTATATATAATAAAGTTCTTTGTTCAACCCGGGCAACACCAATTACTTTAGCTATTTAATATTTAAAGACAAATCCTTCATTCAATGAAGTTGGGACTGACGCTCCTACCCGTATCGTATTTTATTTGGGACAGATTTGAGGTAACTTATTTATTCGTCAAAGGCTTTTTTTCAGGTCCAAGCAAATCATGTTAAAAGATGGGACAATGAATAGTTTTACTTCATACAAAATACTGACAAAATTCTTCTTACAAACGTGCAATTTAAACATAAAATTCGCGAACATTTTGGTTATTGCAGAGTACGGTAAAAAATGGCGAATTAAAAAGCAACAGTTAAAAGCTAAAATTGTTGCAAAGTAAAGGGTGCGAGGGCGTCGAATCTTATAGTTGAAAGAATTAACTACAGAATTTCAGCATTTATTTTGCTTGACAGAAAGCAAGGGGGTGGTCACGTTAACCCAAATTCAAATTTTTTTAGCGTTACCCTTTTCTATAGTCAATAAAATAAGTTAAAAAATGAATGAAGTAAAAAAGTATAAAAGAAGGAGGATTAATAGGAAAACTAAATATCTAAGTGCTTCCTCCCTTCAACTATTAATCAAAATCTTGGATTCTTCAAAACTTTTCTATTCTCTAGTCTGCAGCTTATCCACAATTTTCTCCAGAAATACAGAAATCCAACGCAAATTTTATTTTTTTTAAATGATAGCGATACTTTTGGATATTTAAAATGTGACTCCAGGTTTCTCTTGACCTCTTGACTTAAAAAGAAGCAACTCTCTTAGTATATTAAAAAATAGACAACTAAACTCTCTTTTTGAAAATTACATTACAATGTGTTATAACCCAAATTGTTATTCATGTAAAACTAAATAAATATTTTTTAAATTTTTTTTGTACATGTCAAAAATTATTTCAAAATTTAGTTGTTCAAACCAATGTATAACACGCACCGCTGATTCTTTAGTAAAAGTAAATTCAACCTATATGAAGCATAAAGTCTGACCGTTTCAACCTTGTTGCACCGGCTAGTCCTGTCCATAGAGCTAGTACAAACTGGGACCGGAAAGGTTGACCCGGCTCGAAAATTCAAATGTACTACGGCTGCCCGTGATAAACTAATTTGATCAAAGATAAAATCGCACCCTGATAGCTAATATCACTCCTCAAATATATTTAATTGAAATGTTTTGGTATCATTGTTAAAATTAAGTGGACAAAATAATCAAAACAGATAAGAGCTATTTCCACCTAGTTGCTTTTATACTTGTACTGTTAAAATAATTGTCCGTTTGTAAGAACTCGGTCTGTATACAAAGATACATATATTTTAGCAATAAACTCTATATCTTATCATATCCTGACTGAACATAAATCCTTCAAATTCTTCATTAGACAGGAGAAAAAGGTCAAATTACTGCGACATCACATTACTGTAATCTAATAGCTTTGATTTTATCAGAGGTTGAGGGAAGCTTTGATCAGCGGATAAAAATGAAACAAAGATATTAAGCGTTTATACTCAAAGAAAAGTACCCACAATGAATATAGATATCAAGCAATCGGATTTATGAGTAACTAATACAAAAAGTATCGATTCGAAGAACGGTTAAACATTGTCGAACTTATTATTTCTTGGTAAATTAATTAACGCCACACAAATAATTAAAGCATAAATACAAATTAGGAATTGTGAAAATTAATATAAAGTTTTTTATATAAAACTTGTTTATTCTTACTTGAAACTCGCTTAAAACTCCGGGATGAGTAGTAATTATGCACCCAATACGAATCTAGAAAATAGGGAATAATTTGCATTATTATTTTAATTAAAAATATCGGACATAACATTTTAAGATATTAGCACGTACATTGTTAGAAATATCTGATTCCTCAAAGTTTGCGTATTTCATCGTGCATACTGATTGATATAGGGGTCACCCATAATGCATTTCTAAGTACCTTAAATCTTTCTTTTTTTAAATGAAGACTTTTTATAGATAAAAAATACTGTTGATTTTTCTAAAAACTCTCAGTCAACTTAAAATTTATAACTCTTTAGTCTTGTAATAGTTTTTTTTGGGTTCCCTTATAACTCTTTTCAGTATCATACTTCTAAACATTTTTCCACAAACTTAAAATTTTTTAATCCCTTTATCATTGCAATCTGATTGTGTAAATCTTTGATATTTCAAACTTAGACTGTGTCATCTAGCTAAATTCATAGTTTGATATGGGTTGCAAAGAAAATTGGATAAAAAAGTCAAAAATTGTGGCAAGACCTCAGTTTCTTTTTAAGATGTCTTTTAGTAAAAAATGATTCTTTTAAAGAATTAAAACCTTGGATAGATCTTGGAATTTAGATTCAGGGCCGCCTTCCAGTTTTCTAGTATTCTCCAGCTGAAATATATTTCTAATGGTAATATTTTATTTCAATGATTTTTACATAAAAATGAAACCTGGCAACAGTCTACAAAAAATTATTATGTTTCTAACATACTAAATGAAGAGACTGAGGACTGTCAACGGTTTAGCCCTGTTTCAATAGTTGGTGAATAAAGTAAATAAAGTTCAGTTTTGAATCAGTGGTAAAAATCAAGAAAATGATTTTCTTCCAGAAAACAAGAATCTTGAGAGTTTTATAAAATTGATGATTTGATATTTCTGAATATTTTGTTAGTGTTACAAGGAAACATTCATGAAAATACAGGATTACCCACTTAGGATGAGACGACATGAAACTCATTGAATATTTAAAATTCGGTGATGAGGTATATTTGTGTACAATCCTGTACAAGATCTTCTGCTTTAAACAGAGTCTTTAGATGGGGTTATTTAATGATTTGGCACAGAGAGAAATAAGTTTTACAGTTGCTGGGAATCGTTAACAAAAGAAAACAGACAGTCTTAGTTGGTAACCCTGTACTTCCGAAGAAAGAGTCGAAATGAATATTTTCAGGAATACAATTTTTTTCAGTCAAAATCTAGAATATAGAATTCTATTATTTATAAACTATAACGTATGTACAGGGTGTCCCAAAAAACATGGGAATTCAGTGACGAATTCGATATCGTCTTTGTTATGAATTAGCACTGTAATACCTAATTTCAAAAGCGTCTGCTAGAGTTTATTTAATGAAAAGGGTAAAAGACTGCAAAGATGTGTCTATAATGTCTCCGCAAGATGAACAGTGAATACGGACAAGTTTACTCTGTTTGTATACTGTAATACTAAGTACAACCGGTTGCAGTCAAAACATAAACAAACAAAATGTAAACATAGCAGACGAAACTCTTACAGATTACAGCTTTCTCAGTAGGTATCACTATACTAAATCAAAGAATTATTTGAAAAGACGATATCGAATTCGTCACTGAATTCCCATGTTTTTTGGGACACCCTGTATAAACTCCAAACCTGCAGTTTCAAGGATTGTATAGTTTCATCTTTGTTATCCAGGTCCTCCTGCAGAACTTGAAGGCTTTTGTTCAACAGGTTCTAGATTAGTAGGAGAGCGTATAATGATGATCTCTTGTGTATAACCATTTAAAGTACAGGGGGACCCACAAAGCATGAGATTTCAGAGGCGACTTTACGGAAAAAGAAATTGAGTCTTTGCCACAAAATGTTTCTAATCACTATATCTTTTTGAAAAGATGGTTTACACCATTGATATTTCAAACTTTGATTATTTGATCTTAAAGAATTCATAGTTTGAAATATCTAAGATCTAAGAAACTAGGTTGCAAAGATATAGGTTTTAGAACATCAGAGCTTGTGGCAAAGACTCAATTCCTTTCCGCCTCCATGCACTCGTATGCCGAGTCCATGCCAATCAGGGTTCAGTCATTTGTTTGGTGTCTATTTTGAACCATTAGAAATAGTACGGCGGTAACATCTATCTTTCTATCTATCTCATTATCCAGTTAGAGATAAATCCTTAAATAGGCGCTATACACTTAATGGATATATTCACTTCTACTGAAAATAGAGTGTCTTGCTTTAAATTTGAGATTTCTGAAACTGTGAAGTGGTTTCTTTTTTTCCGATCTTCAAAAAAGTTATAAAAAAATATAATCATGACAGAATTTAACCAAGGAAACGCAATATTTAAAGAGTTGTAGGTCGTCTTTATAGTTTCATCATTTGTGGGTTTCCCTGTACCTTGCGGATCTTTGGGCATGTGAGCTTGAAACTTAAGACAGTGTACCCTTACGAAACCCAGTCTTGGAAACCGGGAAACTCATGGATGGTCGGGGGGTGTAATAGGCTTAAAAAATTAGAAATTTTTTGTTCAAATTTTGTTATTTTTTTTTTTTTCAATTTTTTTTCCCGACTCACGGCCTACGAATCCTACAAACCGCAATTAGCGTTAAATCCACATGTTTCCGGCTAATTAAGTCTAATTAAGTCTAATTAAGTCTGTACTTTTGTAAAACAAATTAAAGACGAATCCAGCATTCATTTATATTTTTAAAGGCGTCGCGGTATCCAATATCCATCAAATAATAATTTTTTTCATCATATTTTTGATGACAGTAGCACATTTTCTGGCTAAATGAAGCAATAGTTATAAAAAACCAAAGTGAGAAATGGGCTTTTTTTCTTCGACATTTACATATACACTATACATTTAAATATTTAGCCATATACACTATACAGGCTGACAATAATCTTCTCAAAAAAGTTTGGAAACACTAAGAAAAAAAAACATTTTAAAATAAAATTTTGCTTTTTGGCGTGCAATACATGCCATGACGTTTGCAAAAAATTTAATCAATGCTGCGTTCTTCTAACATTAATCAACTAAAGTAAAGAAATTTTGTCAAAAGACAAAAAGGTGTGGATTGGCGCAAATGCATTTTGTGACGTCATTTGTGGTTCGGAGGTGAAAGGGTTGTTGGTTGCCTTCCCCCTACCTGAATACTAATTTGTTGATTCAAAATAGTTCTCTCCAGTTTCTCTGTATCAATCATTATCAATCCAAAATTGAGTTGTTTAAAAGGGTAAAATTTAACCACATCAAGTACTTTTTAGCGTTTTTTAACATGCTTAGGATTAATTAGACATTAGGATTAAGGTCAAAACCAGGCGAAATTACAGGTGTGACACAGAAAATAAAAGAAAAAAAACATGGTTCAGTGTAAAGTGTATTTAACTGTAACCATCCAAATGAAAAAATTTCAAATATGTATTTTAACTTTAATAACTTATTTTAATTAATTTTTGCAATATTTTTTCAATATGATATCAGAGAGAAACATTTTAAGACTTCTATATTTCTTGTTTTTCATTCTTTCTTCCTTATTGATATTTTTTGATATTTCTCCAGCTAGCCAAATTGCAGAGGCAGAACTATCTTTTCGAGCCCTGTATCTATATTCTGAGAGTGGCAAGGTTACCATCTCCACTTGTTTTTGCTTTTAAGTTTTTCTTGAGTCATGTTACTGCCTCCGCTCGTGCATTCATAGAAATTTTCTTGGTGGCGGGGAGAGGGGTGAGGGGGGGTTCTACACATTCACCAGTTTTTTATCTCAAGCAGGACATAGAGGGGGGGGGGCTTGGACATCTGCCATCCTGTGTTTTTGTCTTTTTTCGCTATCAGTGAAAAGAATTAAATAGTGTAAAGATCAAATGCCCTTCTAATTTTCCATGTTCAAACTTTTCTTCATTTTTCTTTTTTATCTTGCTTTAAGCCCCCATCGCTACTGTCAAGAGATTTCCCTTCCACTTTTTTATGTTCAATTTCTTTTTTTTCTTGCTTCTTATTTCTTGTTTTTACACTTTAAGGCCTTTCCAAATAGTTCTTTTGACATCGAGTTGTGGAGCAGGTAGGTGAGAGATAAGGAGGTACAAAGGAAGAAGGGTATAGGGGATTTTTCCCTGTGTTCCTTCATTTTATACTGTTTCCCAGTTAGGGAAAACCCATAATTGCACCTCTTATGCAAAATGAGGAGTTGTGATCCCTGAAAGCTCTCATGAGAGGAATCTTCCATAGTAGTCCAACATTCCTCACATTTGGTTGAGTAAAAAACCGGTATCCTTGTACATGGCTTGTATTCCCACGAGGGGTTAAACTCCTCTTTCAGTGCACCAAGCTGAAGATGAAGTTTTGTTTTAATCTATGCTTTCTGCATAACTAAACTCAGCGCTTCTTTAGGTGTAATTCTGGGACCACATAGGAGGTCCGCTCTGCTTGGGAGCAGACAGGCAACTGAATTTCAAATATGTATAATTAAAAGCATTTTTAACATTTCTTGAAATTAATACAAGTTCAAGTGAAAAAGTGGAATGAAAGGAATTACATCTGTTAAAAGTAATAAAAATAAATGATAAAGATCTTGTAGAAACTAATATGCATAGGAAAAGGTTTATTCCCTTGTATAAAAAAGTAAAATGATAAGGATATTGTAGAAACTGATATGCATACAGAGGTAAAGGTTTATTCCCTTTTATAAAAAAAGTAAAATGATAAGGATATTATAGAAACTGATATGCATAGGTAAAGGTTTATTCACCTGTTTAAAAAAGTAAAATGATAAGGATATTGTAGAAACTGATATGCATAGGTAAAGGTTTATTCACCTGATTAAAAAAGTAAAATGATAAAGGAATTGTAGAAAATGACAAGCATTTAAACTGTTATGATAGTATGCTTTTCTGTCTTCGTGTCTGTTTGTTTTTGTATCCAATAGAGGTCAAAATGACTGAACCCATCAGAGATTGGTTGCAAATTAAGGACATTTGACATCGTTGTTCTAATCAAACTAAAATAATAACTAACTTGTTTTTATGTAAAGAAAATATATTAAATGTGTCTTCAAGTAAGTAATCCCCACAAAGCTCTGAAGCTGCGGATGTTTATGACTACCAATTCAAAAGAGCATTATTTAAATCATGTTCTTTGTTCTCTCTTCAACATTCAGATTTACTTACGAAACCAAATTCTTATTTTCTTTTTTAAATGAATGGTGGTGTTGGGATAATTTTAGATCTGCTAGAGAGTGTTCGCGAAAAGTTAAAGGTCGCTTATAATGCAAAATATTTAAATTAAAATCGTTTTAAACGATTTTTTAAATACAAATTTGATATACAGGGTTACCCACATAGAATGCGACTGTATAATGAGGATCTAAAACTTAACATAACTATCTTAATGTTGAATTCTATAATCCTTTCTTGACATGACCCTGAAAATACTGGCACGCAAACTTTAATCAGGATTTTTTCAAGAAACAATCTTGTTGCAGTTTTAAAATGTATTTACTCATACAGGGCTGTACAAAACAAGAAAGGTTTAGAAAATTTAATTTTTATCAAGGGTTCCGAACACCTGTTTTAGTATCAAGAGCGTAGCGTATGGATATTTTTGTATTTAAAATTGGCCAAGGGAGCGTGTTTAACTAAAATTTTCAATTTCTTGAATAAGTAATGCGGTTCAGTAACTATTAATTAACATCCCGTTGTCGGGGGAATCATGGGTTGATAATATAGGTTTTTTTATCACCGAATAATACCAAATTGCATACTGTTCGAAAGAAAAATGCGAAAACATTCGAAAAAAACACAAAAAAAAACGAAAATTAGCGAAAAATTCCGATTTTTTTCGGGAAATTTCGCATTTTATATTTCGCTAAATATCGTATTTTTTCATGAAGGTTTTTGTTCCCTGAAAACCCTAGTTAAATGTTTTAAAAACTCTATTGCTTCTAGATGTTATTCTACTTCTCCAGCTGCATTGGACGCATACTATTTATTCTTGAATGTCAATCACATTAAAATGCAAGAGGAAAAAACATGTGTGTTGTTTTAATAAGCTGTAATTATTATTGTTTAAAGAGTAGGGGAGTAATCTGGTTTGTGTGTGAGGGGGGTGGGGGGAGTAAACAGTGAGTAAACCTTTTTACTCCGGATTGATTAGATTCCTAAAACATGTGTTCTGTTCAGGTAGATCTCGTTTAAAGAAATATATTTACTTGATTTTGAGAAATCTCCCTCAAAACCTGAAAACAAATAAGTTTAGCAAAAAAAGCTATCAACACTTGTCTTAAAACTTTTATTTTTTATCCTTATATTTTTGCAACATGAAATAGGAACGTTTGTATGGAGTATCGTTAATCTTGAACGCTTGATCTCGATATCCAATGTGAGAACATTTAAATTTGAGGGACAGTGCCTGATTTTTAAATGAAAGTTTCCTTGCAGGGTTTGGCCACCACGAGATATCAAAGAGGAATAGCATTAATACTTGGGTCATGAATACTACGGAATACTTGGGTCATGAATACTACGGAATACGTGGGTCATGAATACTACGGACGGAATACGTGGGTCATGAATACTACGGAATACGTGGGTCATTAATACTACGGAATACGTGGGTCATGAATACCACGGAATACTTGGGTCATGAATACAACGGAATACGTGGGTCATGAATACAACGGAATACTTGGGTCATGTGAATACTACGGAATACGTGGGTCATGAATATTACGGAATACTTGGGTCATGAATACTACGGAATACGTGGGTCATGAATACTACGGAATACGTGGGTCATGAATACTACGGAATACTTGGGTCATGAATACTACGGAATACGTGGGTCATGAATACTACGGAATAATGCTAGATCACAAGATTCACACGCACAATAGTTCCAACTTCTGGTTTCAAACAATAAATTTTATTATTACCAATCATAGCAACTGAGATTTATTCTTAAAATGTACTTTGTTTTAGAGACAGCTCAGTTGAATATTAGAAAATTCTGATCAATAGCAACATTTTAATAGTTAAAATTATAGAGATAATGTAGAAACTTCATGTCGTTTCAAATTAAAAAAAAACATATTTTTTTTTATTTTTCACAATAACTATTAAATAACTCATAACAAAATAAATATGTTTAAGTTTATTTTTTATTTTTCATCTACTAAATAATATTTCTATTATGGTTTTAAAACATACTTACTTATTTTATCAAAAAACAAGGCAATGAACAAGGAAGCAAAAATGAGCAGGAGCAAAACTTTAACACTCCTGTTCATTCGACCTAAAATCATGTTTAACCAGAATATTTTCACTTTTTGTTCGATTCTACTCTCATATCGAATATATCTACACACTGTAGAGCTACAGCTGGGATTGTACAATAGCAAATTATTATTAAACGATGAGTGTTCCGACCAGCTGCACGCTAAGATCTATGAATTAACTTACTCAAGACAGATACTAAACTAAAACACTAAACATCTATTCCACCAACAGCTGTTCAGAAAAGAAAAGCTGTTAATAAGTTTTCTTTTTTGTATCTCTTAAACTGGAGCATACTTGATTAGAGAGTATGTTGTTCCATTCAAGAACCTTTCCCTTTTAGTAAAGTATTTGTCCCTTTTTATCTATTTCTTCAAATATTAGTTTATTTCAAGACGTATTCAATAAGGAAAGTATCTTTAGACTCTTTTTGTCAAGTAGTGTTGCATTTTATGACTCTTAGTAGTCTCTAGTCTGAATTTGTTAGACTAGAGAAGTCTTTTATAAGAAGTACCTTTACAGAACCTTTAGACTCTTATAAAGTATTCAGTATCCAGTATCCAGTATCCAGTATCCAGTATCCAGTATCCAGTATCAAGTATCCAGTATCCAGTATCCAGTATCCAGTATCCAGTATCCAGTATCTAGTATCCACTATCCACTATCCACTATCCACTATCCAGTATCCAGTATCCAGTATCCAGTATCCAGTATCCAGCACCCAGTATCCAGTATCCACTATCCAGTATCCAGTATTCAGTAACCTTTATCCAGTATCCAGTATCCAGTATCCACTATTCAGTATCCAGTATCCAATATCCAGTATCCAGTATCCAGTATCCAGTATCCAGTATCCAGTATCAAGTATCCAGTATCCAGTATCCAGTATCCAGTATCCAGTATCCAGTATCCAGTATCCAGTATCCAGTATCCAGTATCAAGTATCCAGTATCCAGTATCCAGTATCCAGTATCCTGTATCCAGTATCCAGTATCCAGTATCCAGTATCCAGTATCCAGTATCCAGTATCCAAATATCCAGTATCCAGTATCCAGTATCCAGTATCCAGTATCCAGTATCCAGTATCCAGTATCCAAATATCCAGTATCCAGTATCCAGTATCCAAATATCCAGTATCCAGTGACACTCACAGATCAGTTAAATAAAGATGCAGGGTTGACGCGTACCTGCAAGACGTCACACGTGTCGGGTGTGTCGGGTCGGGTCGGGGTCATGTAAAAATGTACAATAGACTTAAAGAAAGAAAATTTTTATATTTTCATAATTACTGAGACTAAGTACTAGCCCTATTGCGTCTTACCTGCAACCACTTGACCACCTTTGCAGACTTGATATGTAGAAAATGATATGACAGAATAACCCCAAAATCCCTATCTCGATTGATTGATCAACTCGAAGTGTACAGCAGCTGTATAATTATTAAATCACTTTTGGGCTAGTAGACATGGCGGTCCGCATCAATGATGGCTCTTTATCTACCTTATCTACAGTTGTGTATCCAGTGCATTTTTTTCAATTCTTCTAACAAATTTACAATTCTTGGTTGTTATGCAATGAAGATTAGTCAACAAGAAGCAAATAACATAAAATAGAGTAAACATTATATAAACAATATAAACAGAATATATAATCTAGTTGTTTATTGCTTATATTAAACCAATGTTTATACAATTAAATAAAATCAGAGACTACATTTTATGTACTCAGATTTCACCAGGCCCGTAACCAGGATTTTTCCCAAATGGGGGTGTTGTAGTATGGGCCCTGGATCACGGAATGAAACAAAGTGAACGAGGCGGGGGGTCGCAGGGGGATAGAGCCCCCTGCATAGAACATTTGTGCAACTTAAGTATAAAAAGGAGTAATTGGAGCTTGAATTTTATGTTATGTAGGCTATTTTCTAATTTGTCAACAACGCTAGTAATTTAACTTGAACTTAATGTTACAGTGAAAATTCAATTTTCCTGAATTTGGTGTTCTATGTTGCAAGCAAAATTTTTATAATAATCTAAAATTTTACAATATTGGAAGACAGAATATTTATGATAATTTTGATATTAGTGCTCAATTTCACTGGTTTTGAGTTGTCTGGACAAAATATTGAAACTGGGGCAATGTTTCTGCAAACTTTAAAGAATTGATTTGTTTTTACATACTGGAACATACTTGTTACATTACATGTAAGACATATGTATATCGACATATGCGAAAGAAAAACAAACCAGTTCACTCAGAAAATTCTTACCTCAGGACAAATAATTTTCATAGAATGGTTAATTTGGTTGGTCTGACGGAACAGCTTTTGTAAAGAATTGTTCAGATCAGACATAGCATATACACTATTCAGTGTACAGAAAAATATCAAATTTTAAAAACTTTAAATGCTAATATCTCAATTTTTCAATAGAAGATTATACCAAGCAACTTATTTAAAAAATTCCGCAATTAATTGCGCAAAAAAACTTGTGGAATTCTCTGCTCTAATTTTCGCATTTTTTGAGCGAAATGCGAAAAAATGCGAAATTATGGTGTTAATAGCTATTTTTTAACCGATCTTGAATGAGAGATCGAAACATGACTGGAAATATTCCGATACAGATAGGATACAGTTAGTTCGTATAGTTAGATACAGATAGGATACAGTTGGTTCGTATAGTTAGATACAGATAGGATGCAGTTGGTTCGTACAGTTAGATACAGATAGGATACAGTTGGTTCGTATAGTTAGATACTGATAGGATACAGTTGGTTTGTATAGTTAGATACAGATAGGATACAGTTAGTTCGTATAGTTAGATACAGATAGGATACAGTTGGTTCGTATAGTTAGATACAGATAGGATACAGTTGGTTCGTATAGTTAGATACAGATAGAATACAGTTGGTTCGTATAGTTAGATACAGATAGGATACAGTTGGTTTGTATAGTTAGATACAGATAGAATACAGTTGAACGGTTCCTATAATTAGATACAGATAGGATACAGTTGGTTCGTATAGTTAGTTAGATAGGATACAGTTGGTTCGTATAGTTAGTTAGAAATGATACAGTTGGTTTGTATAGTTAGTTAGATAGGATACAGTTGGTTTGTATAGTTAGTTAGATATGATACAGTTGGTTCGTATAGTTAGTTAGATAGGATACAGTTGGTTCGTATAGTTAGTTTTACTTGAGTATAGTTGACCACCAGCTTACTTTATGAGCATGATTAAATCCTGTGCTGATAAATAATACAAAAATACTATATTCCACCCCAGGGCCTCATTTATTACAATAAGATGATGAGCTGTAACATGCTATATATATATATATAATATAGTATACCATAAACAAACCAAACAATGGGGATACAATTAATAATTACATCCCTCTAACACTCTGCCACCCTTTTACTTCCTTTGACCTTATTATAGGGATTGTAAACCTTGGAGGAATCCCCTGTCCATACATCATTTACATGACAAATCGTTAATGTATGGGATTGTTAACCTTGAAGGAATCCCCTGTCCATACATCATTTACATGACAAATCGTTAATGTATGGGATTGTAAACCTTGAAGGAATCCCCTGTCCATACATCATTTACATGACAAATCGTTAATGTATGGGATTGTAAACCTTGAAGGAATCCCCTGTCCATACATCATTTACATGACAAATCGTTAATGTATGGGATTGTAAACCTTGGAGGAATCCCCTGTCCATACATCATTTACATGACAAATCGTTAATGTATGGGATTGTAAACCTTGAAGGAATCCCCTGTCCATACATCATTTACATGACAAATCGTTAATGTATGGGATTGTAAATCTTGAAGGAATACATTGTTCATACATAATCTACACGACAAATCGTTCATATATGGGATTGTAAACGTAATTATAAATGACCAACCATTTATTGAGAGGCATGTCCGCTTTTCATGATCAAGAAATAATTAGGTTTTTGTTTTTAAAAGCTCATCAATTCATTTGTAGTTTGTAACTTGGACATTTTTTGCTTCAGATACACACGTTTATTAGAATTTTACATTTTTCAAGCCTGGAAACCGACGATATCTTCAACATTTTTGACAGTAAATGTATTCCTATATACAAGTACATTTATCCGCATTATTAATGTAGTAAGCAGTAGCGGTACAAAATAATGGACTGGAAAGTTTCAAGAAATATTTTTTTTTCAGAATTCTTCAATCGCTTAAACTTTTATGAGAACCGTTTATATGATTATGTCATGCTTCTTGGTAATCTGTCCTAAGTGAGTCTTATTTCTTCTAAACCTCAATATTTAAAGGGACTGTACGCGGGATTTCAAATGACCCATAATGCCGGATTTACCGTTGCACCCTTTAAAGGTTTGTTTGATGAAGTATAAATTATAAATCCGTGTTTTTGTTATTTTAAACCGTTTATTTTTTATTTTCTCTGCAAAAACTTAATTTGCGCATTTCTTGCTCGTAATAAATAACGAAGATGTTATCAGAATTTACACTTTTTGAGTCAGAGAGACAAATTTATCTTCCAAATTATTGATCAGATTAAGCTTTCAAGGTTACAGTTTTGAATCGGATACTTCCATATGGAGAGTCAAACTTGAAATTACGCTTACAATTCCTTTAACCAGGATGGAAAATATGAAAAAGTCAAAGGCTACAACGCGATATTGTGACACTTTTAAGTTGGCCCAGTCTTGAAAACTGATGCAACTTGTCATAACTGATAAGCTTAACTTTAAGTGCAAGTAACTTAGAAACATTTATCTAATCAATAATGTGGAAGATATTGTCGTTTGTCGAGGCTTAAAAGTTTAATTCTAATAATAATTCTTGTAATAATATGTTTTTCCTGTAGTAGAAATTCGAAAGCCGTTTTGTCAAAATCGCAATTAAAAATAATCAGTTTTAGAGTTATAAACGTTGGTATATGATGAGACAAAGCATAGAAGGGTACTGTTGTGAATAAATGGTTTACACAAAAGGTCTTGAAGTAAAAATGTTTATCAATATTTAATTATCATATTCTATCTTATTTTGTTTATTATACATTTTGGGTAACCATTTCTATTTTATTCTATAACTAATAATTTATTAGTTTATTGCATGATTTATTTCTGGGAGAACCCCCCCCCCCCACCGACTAGCAAGCACCAACC